ATATTGGCTGACAATAGAATAGATGTATAGGTAACCTTGGGTAGTAAATTGCAACTGTGATGAATCAACATTTTTCTGTGTATCATGAATACAAGGCCACCTGCGAACCGCAATTCGAGTTCTGAACGGCTGCCAACTTTCACACTAGCCTGTGCAGAAGCAAAGGCAACATTAAACATCGTCCTTGGGATATTTTATGGGTTAAAATCAACAACAAAAACAAGAAATTAGTGGTTTGAAGTCGAGAGAAAATAAAGCTCCACCAACGTGAGGTAAAAGCCTCTGAAAGTGAAAGTGTTTGTTCAAGGATGCAGACATAAGGAGGTTTGGGAAGTAATTCTAGCTCTTACAGCTGAATTCCTTAAAAAATTATGACAATGTTACAGTTTTCAAAATGACACCTTCATTTTTATCCCCATTAATCGGTAGCCTTCCATCGCAATCAAGTACTATTCATTTTCAGTTTCCAGCTCTTTTATATTTGAGCATACTACCTCCCCCAAAAAAAAGGAAAAAAAGGAAAGAGAAACATAATACTAAAATTAAATAAGAAATAAAACATCATAGGGCCTAAAAAGATAGCCCATAACAAAGTATTTGTTTTCTCTCCCTTAACAAAAGTTCTTAGCTTGATACTCCACCATAAAAATGTATGAATTTCTCAAGAAAATAAAAATTGAACACCCTACAACAACATTGATTCTGTGAAGTATTGTTACACATACATCAGATGTCATCAGTGAGAAGGAACAGCCAAACTTCTACAAAACCAATGGGAAAAACATTGCAATACTCAACAGAAAACAGACTTTTGATGCAAATTTCCTGTTGAGCTCGAAACCCAACATGGATCGATTTTTGGCAGAGCAAAACATTCCTCATCCTACGGAAACATGACCCGACCCAGCGACTGCTTCCTGTGTATGAGCTCAGCCATCACGCTGGCTTTGCTTCGGCAGTTCTTCCTGTGACTGTTCCTGTCCCAAAAGTACTGCAACCCGTGTCTGTGATGCATCAATTGTTTTCTGTTCCTTTCTCGTATGTGTGCTTTGATTATGTTTTTGTTCTTGTCCTCGACTTGTAGTTTTACACCATGAAAAAAGATTTTAAGCAGAGCTTTGTATGTAATACTTTTTATACAATGTCATAATATCACAGTATGGCAATATTGACAAGAACCTTTTGCGTTCAGCTGTCCTGAGGAGGTATTTATTTCTGTTGTTACATGTTATGCAACAGAACTGCCAGAGATATGTGTTATAAGATAAACATGTCAATAAGGAATATCAGAAGGTCCATCTATTTTACTGACCAACATGTTTTTCTTAAAACCTTTTCGTATCCCCAACTCCTATAGGGCCGATTTCAAGAAAAACAATACCTTCGGGGTGTCGACTCCCCCTTACCCTCAATTTACCCCCCCCCCCCCACTTTTTTTCTAGAGTGGAGTTTGAGAAACTATTTTGCAAATAACTCTTGAACCATTTTGTCTCAAGTAGAGTCTGATTAGCAAATTATTTCGCAAACAACCGTTAATTCATTCCATGCAGCATGTTTTCCTTATCACACCATCTCTAAAGTGTCTGTCACCTAAAATGAACAAATGGTATTCCTAGGGTTAATACCTTCTTGATTTCCTGCTGCTGCACCGGCATCACCTGGGGGCTGTTACCCAGGGGTACGGGCCGTACGGGCTTGTGGTCCATGTCTCCCATGGTCAAGCGAGGGCGCTTTGGTGCTACCACCTCCGATGCCGACGCCTGCTGGCTACTGGATGCCCTGACCGGTTCAAACTGCCGGTGGTAGACAAGGCCCCTGTGATACATGGAATTGAACAAAAGAGAAAAAGGGGAAAATTGAATTAATACCATGAGCATAGTTTATGTTTAAACGTGGAGATACAGTTCTGTGAAATTAAAATTTTCAATATATGTTATTTCTTATGGCATTATGTTAAAGTATTTCAAGATATTATTTCCCTCTGTTTGTTAAAGGTACTACTGCAGCCTTCAGGACAACACATTAAATTGCAATCTCTATAATTGATAAATTTCATAATTTTCCATGAACATGTATATATGACATCCCCAGATGTTGCTGTAAATTAATCTGGTATCCTCATACAATGCTTCATGAAAACAGGTTAATTTGATATCACTATAATTGGCAAGTGTACATGTACACAAAACCCAGACATACAGGTGCCTAAAGTATGCACCGTTATGAAAATTATATATACAGGGTATATATAATCAGATAATAATACGCAAAATGCAATTAGAATCACTGTAGAATTACCCCTAAAAAAAGAAAAATACTTTATCAAATATTAATAGAATGTCATATATGTAATGTATTTTCTCAAGTTCAAGTCCCTGGATGAATCTAAAGCCCGTTCCTAATGCCCTGTTTACATACAACATATTAAATTGTCTCACAAAGCCAACATATGCAGAAAAGTAACATGACATACAAAACATGCTCTTGACAATTCTGTTTCTTGTAACAGACAGATAAAGTAGGTCTACACTAAAGAGTCGTTGGTGCATACTGCATACAGTGTACATGTTTGTTTTCAAACAACTTTTCGCTTATTTGCCAGTAGGACGATTTGCGATTTGCCGGTGCAGGTGTTTTTTTTATAAAGGAGATTAATGTGTCATGTGAGAAAGGGGCCTGACCATGTTCCCCGTTAACATCTTGTTTGTATGAATACAGCCCTAGACAATCAAGAAGGAAACTCGAGGAGACTGGACAATTTGCAAACATGCTTGAACATAAAATTAATTAAATTTCTCATATTACTGGAGGTTGAGCACATAAAATCGTCAAGTTCCGGGCAAGTTTGGTCGGAAATTTGCTCCTACTTGAAATTCTGTGGTTGTTCATACATGTACACGTACATAGCATTATTTCCCTCTTCATCTCTTTCAATCTTTCTTACTCTCATCCCCCCACCCCACCCCTCTTTTTTCTCTCTTTCTCTCTCTCATGATTTATCCTCTCTCATGAATTATTCCTCTCTTTGTCTCCATCCATCCGTCTCTCTCTCTCTCTCTTTGTTATCTTCATTCTTTCAATTCTTTTAGTAATGCTATTTCATTTCCGCACAAGCATTAATCAAAAGTGATTTGAAAGCAGCAGTACGGGTATATTGATTCACTATGATAAATTACAAGATTGTTATATCATCAAAACTTAACTGGCATCATTTGCAATGAACTTAAATCATACAAGTCGGTGTTCTTTTTTCTATTTTGTTGTTGTTCATTGTTCATTTGTGAATTTGTTTGTTTGCTGGTTTGTTTGTCTGTCTGTTCATTGTTGATATTGTTTCTATCTTATTGAAGCCAAATGATTTTGGCCTTGTTTCACGAAACCGTCACAAGTACAAGTTCATGGACATCTCATTGAAACGTGTGTACCGTATTAAAATTAACACACGTTTCAGTGGGATGCCAGCGAACTACGGTTTCATGAAACGATGCCCTGGTATTCATAGCTTACTGCCTACGCTCTGACAAAGGAAAGGGTCATAGGAAAACCTGATCCATCCCTTTAAAGGCTGGGTACATATTTGACTAAACCTCTCACACGATGCAATCACCAAGTGTGCAAAATAATTTACGTCAACCTAAAAGATGACGTGATCACTTGCTATTCAAACACATGCAGGAATCGTGCCATAATTGATAGCACTCTGCTCTGCTTCGTACCAGCATTAAAATAAGCCTACTTTGTCTTTATTAAACAAGAGAACGTTTGTGATGGAGAAGAAACACAATCTAATTTAAAAGCGATATATCCATGAACAAAAAGGATATTACCAAAGGTGAATGAAGATAATCACTCAATAGAGAAACTCATTAAATGAATTAAATTCTACTTTCATGAATAAAATAAAAAGAGACAATTACTTGTAGAGAAAATGCGATTATTCTACCGAGAAGCTCCATTGCGTAAATTAATAATAGACTAATTTCATAAACGAGGGAGCATTAATGATGCAGAACAGAAACAAAAGATCTGATGGAGAGAGACACTCATTTCATAGACGATGTAGTTTTATCTCTTGACAGATAATAGAAATACATAATTATCCGATGGAAAAGCAAATCCAATACATTTAACCCTACTTTAAAAAGAAAAGAGACCATTAGTGATGGATGCCTGAAGAGTCTAGGAAGCTATTTCTCAATCTAATAAGTGGCCGAGAGTGGTTTAGAAGGCAAGATATAATTGAACAGAAGATTAATGTGAGGTGCATGTCTTATTAGCATCTTGATGTACAATGGTGAACCGACTCTTTTTCCAGGGACAATCGCAACCCTACTCTTTATATGACAAATATTGAATGCATTTCTTTTTTCAATATAACATATATTCACCTCAAAATTCAGAAATTTCCCTTGTGCCATTATATTTCAACCTCAGCCTGCTCAGTGCTGCCTTAGTGATAGATCATAACTCAGAAAAATCTGAATTTGTCAGTTCATAACGACTGAGCATGCAATATTTGTATAATATTTAATGTAGTGTTTTCAAATATAAGTTTTGTAAGTTGCAAGCATTTAAGCCTTCCTTTGCAATTTACAAATTGTAAACTTTGAATTATAAATCAATAAGCATTTTTTTGTTTTACATTAATTCCTTTAAATAACACTAAGTATGTACATGTACATGTAACAATAACATTTTGATTAATTTAGTTCTAAATTAAAATGTTCCTTCGCCTCTATTTCTATCTATTCATTTCAACAACTCTGTTAACCATGCCCATCTACACACGTACAGTGTATACAGTTCAAACAAACAGGACGACCTTGCATGACTTTCTTTGTTTCTCTCCATCTTCTCTCTCTCTATCTCTCTCTCTCTATCTCTCTCTCTCTCTCTCTCTCTCTCTCTCTCTCTCTCTCTCTCTCTCGACTTCACTTCCTCCTTACACCACTCAGACTTCTTACAGCCTTGTCAGAACTTATCATTAGCAAGATTTCATTAAAAAAGACCCTGATATGTAGCCATGGAAACTAATAACTACACCGAGAGGCCATTCATTTCGGCCCTGAATTATGCAGGAGGAAAAAAATACTAATAAAAATGAATAATAGCATCTTGAGACAGGAATGACAACCAAAAAACAAAAATACGAAGAAGAAAAAAAAAGAATTTACACTCGATATCTAAAATTTGGTGAAAGAATATTGTTTTAACGGCAGTCGAGCCATGCTCAACAAGTTAATCAGGAAGAGTTAAAACTAAGACCAATCTATATACAGTACAAGTACAACTGAAATCCTCACCCTCATTATAACATAACCTGAACAAAAAACATGCCCAATACACATATTGAACAACAAATTATAGTTATCAACTCTTTAAATTTTTTAATGTAAAATGCAGGGGATACTTCACTGCAATTTTCTAATCATGATGATAATGTCATATCTCTATAATATACTTTATGTTTTGCTTATTTCTTTGTTATTTTGTATGTTACCATGTATTTACAGGACCAATGTGAATATCAGCTTTGGCTGATTATGTCATCCTGTATAAATATTTTAAAATAAATAAATAAGTAAATAAATAAATGTTTTCTGTAATCAAATTCCAAATTTGGGGGGGGGGGGTGCATTAATGATATTTTTTTTTTATCATATTCACACTTCTATCACCAAATATCAAGTTGAAAGCTGGAAACATCTGTATGCTGTCTTCTGGCAAAATACAGGGAATGCATCAGTGAAAATTCTATTATCATTATGATAATACTTCCATAGCAAAACAAATCTGTAAAACAAAACAAAGCACCTCTAGGCTCTATCTCCTGACCCCATCTGAGACTGACTACTGTATATCCAGAAAAACAAAACAATGTAATTATCAAAAGCACTGCTCACATTAAAGTAAAACAAGGGGGTGTCACTGTAATTCTATTATTATGAATTCATGATGATAACACTCCCGTAGCCGAATTGATTCTGTAAGCAAAGAACCTGAGTGCCCTATCTCCTGGTCCAATCGGTGATTGACTACAGTACACCCATGAAACCGTATAGATTGCAATTGATTTTTAAAAGAATCCCACTATCTACTTGACTTGGAACATAACTTTTTTCATCCACAAAATAGTGTTTTCCGCGGGCAGACTATTGATTTATTTCTCCCGAGCTGTTTATAGGTTGATATCTAACACTCCTGACCCTGTTTCATAAAACTTGTTATCAATAACAAAATAACAAATGCTAAATTTCCATGAAAAATTTGCCCTCAGCCAATCGAATGCAAGGATTTCAGTAGCTTACAACAGTTATTGTAATTTGTTATTGATATCAAGTTTTATGAAACAGGGCCCTGATGACACTGATCTATGGGAAGTCGATGCTAGAGATACTTGTAGATGACAATTCTCCATAAAAAAAGGCAATAATTATTTCATTATGAAATATTACGTGCATATTTACTCCTAATTTTAACAGATATACCCTATCCTTTCCCGTGTTTGTTTGTTTGTTTGTTTGTATTTTCACATGAACGTTACCTGTCTCTATCTATCTGTGACTGTCCATGGAACTCGGAGAGAAGGGACGGTCTCCTTCGTATACTGGCCTGGGTGGGGGGATAGTGTAACTCAGGTCGAGGGTCGCGAAACTCCATAGGGGACATCTCCTGCAAGACAAAAAAAATATAGTATACATGGTAAAAATATAGTATATATGGTAAAAAAATATAATATATCTGGTAAAAAAATATGGTAAAAATGTAGTATATACAGGTATGGTAAAAATAGTATATATGGTAAAAATAGTATATATGGTAAAATATATTATATATATATATGGTAAAAATATAGTATATGGTAAAAATAGAGTTGGTCAGAATACCAACTAAAGTTGATTCAAAGGAGTACATTATTGTTTTAAAAATCGATGTCATCCAAGAGAAGGGATCTCGTGCAAGACAAATCGCATCAAACAATGTACATGGTCTGAAAAAATTGAGTATTTTAAGTCAATATATGACATCGTTATAAGAATCAATATATCGATTACATATAACATGTGTGTAGGCAGAGCTTTACATCTGCAAAATGGGCCATCAAATCCTGAACCAGACCCCTAAACTTTCAAATTTGAACAGGAGGCACCATGCATACAGAATTATAAACCCTAAATTTTCAATCCAGATTTTGAAGAAATAACATTGATAGATTATGAAGTCTTTTGGAATTACTCCAATCTACTTCTGTCACAGATATGTATCCATATGAACACATTCCCAAAAGTATCTTTAAAAAAAATTATTTACAAAAAAATTGTATTTACATTCCTAGACTATTTTCCATAATGATTGAAATGATACCGTAGTCATACGCTTGTATGATTCCAGCGGTACAATTCCACTTGGCTTGAGAAAGGTGTTGATTAATCACTGAGTGATATAACACCTCATTGCCCAGCAAACAAGAGTGAACTTTAATGTGAATTGAAATAGGTAGTCAAGCAAAGCAAAACAAAATGAATCATGCAAAGGACAGAGTTACTACTCATGTGAAAAGTCCTATTAACCCAATGTCTACCAGAACCCAGTGTTCCCTGTATGAAGCCTATGGGAATGAGAAAATACAGTACTCAATGGGTTAAATGATTAAATACTTAGCAACATCATCCTTTTGTACAGGAGTGGGGAGGGGGGGGGGGGGTATTTTTCTTCTCACTTTTTCTAACTTTTTCCTTTTTGATAATTAAACAAAAACTTAATATAGCAGATGGCTACTTTTGACTATTATTTTCTTTTTGGTGTAAGAAATTATCTGGACAAAGAGTTCTATTTCCTTTGTTTTCAAGATGGAGTAGATAATGCACAAGTTCACCTTTACTACAGCATTATCAAGTGTACACAGTCTGAAGGCACAGACTCTCATTAGATGCTTTGGCAAAATATATTGTGTTTTGAGTGAAGCCTAACCCAAGTTTTTCAAAGGCTGTGTCCAAATAGACATACTGGTAGTTTTGTATTATTGTTATCAATATACATGCAGTTAGAGTTATCAGTGAAAATATGACCAGCCCTTTAGATTGTGACAGATAATTGCTTGTCCCTTTTATAAATTGTAGCTGAAAAGGGGTTGTTCCCTTTAAATTGTGACCAAAAAGGGTTTGTCCCTTTAAATTGTGACCAAAAAGGGTTTGTCCTTTAAATTGTAGCTGAAAAGGGTTGTCCCTTTAAATTGCGACTGTCTGAAAAGGATTTTTGGCTGCAATCAACCAAGGCACACCTTATACCTAATATGTGTACATCTGTAACACATACAAATGAGCAGATACATACATGTAGTAAAATTGAACTTTCGCTACTCGCTGTTGTACACAACAAATGGTTGTATAAACCAGGAAGGAAGAAAAGGATATCCTCTCCTTAACCAGGGAGCTGAAAGGACATGTGGGGTAGAGCCATTCCTCTTTCTTACTAATAACATCTATCATTGCCCAGACCTTGGCGGTTTCCACAATCCACTATGGGGCATGTTCACACACGTACAAGCCTTTTCACAAGAGGGTGACAAGCATGTACAGTAAAAGGAGCATACACAAGATAAATCGTATTGAAACGTTGTCCGAAGAAACTTGTTTACGAAGAAGTGCGAGGCTGTGTACATTACTCATACTATATGAAGTTCACATCTAGTCAACACCGATTCTTTATCAAGTTCTTCTTCAGAACAAAGTGGAACTTTTGTTTCCCTTTGGTTTCCTATGTATTGTAAAACAAGGTATTACTGTAACATATTAAATACAAAAAATAAGTAAAACATATGAAGTTATCTTTCAGCCATATCATAATACAAAATGTTGTATAGATTTCTATTTTCTGAATGAGGTACAGTGCACAGACAAACTTAATGCAAATACCTTACATTAATGAAAATTTGTACCTGACATTCACACCAGCATTTACAAGTTTTATGCTGAAACCATTTGGGGGAGACACGAAGTAAGAAACATGATATTATGTTTACTGGTTATGTGATATGAAGCCTTCTTGAAGCTACCCTTAAACTGCCTCAAAGTTCATTTATCATTCCGGATGACCATAAACCATGTTCAAGTAATACACCTGGAAGTTGTAAAAGCCTAGGCGCAAAAAGCACAATAGGCTTGTCCTCATTAGCTTGAGTTTGCCAAAGGACCTGCTATTTTAACTATCCCAATTGCAAATTAACCAGCTAATTTGCATTTTCACCAGCCTGGAGTGGCAATTAGCGGAATATTTGATCAAGAAAATATCCTTAGAAATCTTGGTCTTGTTTCCAAAATATCCTGCTATTTGGGAACTAACAGGCTAATTTGCGCCTGTCTGAGCTAGTTTGTGATGAGCATATCGGTCTGGTGGAGACACAATTTCGAGCTTCAGGATAACATTCCGAGTCTGAAAATAGCTGGTTAATATTTGGCAAACTCGAGCTGATGATGACATGCCTCATGAAAACAGGCCTCATGAAAACAAGGAATGATCAGGCTGATAATCAATCTAAAGGATCCTCAGAGCTATATTCTGTACCTACATGTATTTCTTCAAGCATTATTTTGAAGTACGGTACTCAACTTGATTAACTTAATTTTCAAGAAGTGTTTCTCCTTGTCAATTTGATCTACGCTCCCCCCCCCCCCCCTCCCTTGCACAGGTAGGCCCATGTGCACTTGCAATTTATTGATTTCACAGATTATATCGCTTTTCCTCCTGGAAATCTTTTGTGATTAGTCAGAAAGTCACTTCAGTCAATTTCCCAGAGGTTTTTTATATTTTTTACATTTGTATTTTATAGATTACAATCACTCTTTTCAGCGCCTGTTTCATTGTGGCTTCTCATACATTATATTATTAATAAAATAGCATTGAATGTTATACTCAAATATCAATGAACATTTAAAGCAAGGCAAGTATAGATTAAAATCAGACAGTATACAAATGAGTTACTTTACAAAGTTTGGTATGTATTCATCTGAATCTCTTTTAATTGTAAACCACATTTCTTCACGAAGACAAACACTTTTCTAAAAACATGATTTTAATCTTTTTTTTTTATTTTGACTTTTTGAAATTGCAAGAGAAAAAATTTTAACTACCGGTACAGGTAAAGTGAACAAACAAATTTTTTAAATGGGATAAAGGGTCTGAAAACACAGCTACTTTTCCCCTTTCTAGCAAGAGCAATAAATCATAAAAAAAGATTATATCTTGACTAAACATTCAAAAGTGACTAACATTGGACGAGCATAGAAATTATTAACACCTTTTTCAAGTAATAGAAGTGCAAGGACAAGGATTTCTCATGGTTTACTTGTTCAAGGCAAATATACCTATATATATTATCAAAAATGTTTTCTTTTTATGCAGAAATATTTGAAACCCAAACAGACCAATAATAATATCCTATTTAGTATTACATTTACTACATTAAAAATAGCCACAATGTTTTAAACTGTTCAACATTCATACACCTATGAATCTTGATGAAAAGATAACATGTTCCTCCTTACTCCATTTCCGGCAACTGATCAATTTCCAATTTTCCCTTTAAAGCTACCATGAGACTCAAGGGCACTGATCCAGACAATGAACCCTGGGAGAGCTTTTTTTTCCCCCTTTCGTTTTCTATTTTTACTTTTCTTGACGGCACTAATGTCAGCTCAGGACTGTCAGACTGAAACCGAAATACGGGATAGTTTGAATATTACCAAAGGCTGGCTCCTTTTATAATGCATTCTCTAAGGTGTCGCATGATATAATGTGACACCTGAGCAGAATTGAGAGAATTCAGGTGCTTTTAAAGGTGCTATTCAACCTTTAGATGATTGAATAATCGGTAAAAAATGTGTAACAAAGTACTATCATATGGGAAGTGACAGCGTATTTCAATAATATCTACATCTTTTATCTGAAAGCGAATGGAATAGGTTCGAAGTTAGTCTTTCTTCCTTTATCAAACTGTCATTTCTCTTAAAACTTTTGAGGTGTTATTTCCATCACATTTTAAGCAAAATCACTGAAAAATTCCTATTCTTCCAGGAAAATAAAACGTTTCTTGATAGTACCATCCGAGTCAACACAATGTACAGACTTTGATCGAGAGCCATGTTAAATATTCATGTGAAATCTAAACGGCATGAAATTGATAAAGAAATGAATACTGTACGGTAAATGCATAGTAAACACAGGTACGTGATGATAGATACATGTAGATGTGTTTCAACATATCTGATATGTCACATTTCATTTCAAACGGGAAGAATATCATTACCACATTTATTACTTTGGGAGATGCAAAATGGAAATGCAATACCACGTTCTATTTGGTATCCTGAAACTGGATACAAACCTCATCAGAATTTAGAATTGTTAATACTACAAAAAAAGTGAAATAAACATAAATAGAAATGAAAATCAAGCGCTTTTTTTTTATAGAGGGGAATGCAGTGGGAAAACATTATACAGGATTTGCTAGCAATTATCAAGGCTAAACCTCGGCCAAGACAGAAATTGGAATGCCTTCCAGATATTTCCCAAAGATTATTGAAACAAAACATATCTAAGAAGATAACATGATTAGTTGCCTTCAGTCCCATCCTAAGTCAACCATGTCATGATGTCCCTGATGTCCCTGGGGT